AAGTTAGGAGTTCTGTTAGTTGACAACGAACCACTCCTTATTGAACCTTGCCTATCTAAGCTACCTACTGGTTTGGACTGTATAGAGTCTACATCATCATCACAAGATGATGCAACAGAACCTTTGCTGCGTGAGCTAAATTGGTCTCGATCATGACTGCGAAAAGAGCTACTGCTCCTAGAAGCAGTTGGAGACATTGATTGCCTACTTGATTTGGACTCCCTGCCGTTTCTGGATAATGGAGATGAACCCCTCACATATGATGCTGGCCTGTCGGTCAAAGAAGTACGAAGATTGGGAGGAGCTTCAGAAGAGAAACCAGGAATATTTGTTTGCCATGTCCTTATCTTTGGGGATGCAGAGTTTCCACGACTTGTCTTAACTGGGGAAGTCCCTCTGATCCCTGATGAGACTACAGGACCACTGGAGCCAGTGCTCAACCTCCGGGGAGTACAACTGTTAGACCTGGAAGCAGATGTCTTGGGCTTATTTGGAGGTGGGGATGGTCTTCTTGATGGTGTGGCATACCGTAGACTTGGGGTTGGGCTGGAATTCGGCACTGACGAAGGCCTTCCCCTTGATTGCAATGTACTAGTTCCTGAACGAGGGGGTGGACTTAAACGATTTGGACTTGCACTACCCTTACTGCTTCTGTAACTTTTCTCCATCTGAAAGAGTGTGGCATCCAACATAAGATGAATGATGTATAAAAGCACACCTAAGTTCTCTGAAATAAGTAAAGGATCTTTTTCTTAGAAAATAAATTTATGCATAAATATGGAATAAATATCTATTCACCGTAGAAGATCTTGATATCGATATGGGTTTACTCTGAGGCCTGCCTCTGCTAGCAACATTCACCATTCGTGGTTCATCATCTAATGAAGGAAATAGTGGTGTGTCCGGGGGTGTCAATAACCTTTAAAATGAAAAATATAGACATGGCATTAGTGAAATAAGCAGTGGTGACCATAATCTCAAGCCGTGACCAAGAAACTTTGATTTATTTGTCAAACCAAATCAGTATATCATAAATGCAAAATAAATACAATCCAGAACAGCTGGAACCAGAATCATAAAATTTGATCACTACACACTGTGGTTTAACAGATGAAAGTTAAAAATATGGAATAGTACCCACCAGTCATAATCATTCTTGTCACCATCTGCATTCAGCAAGTTGCTGGTTTCTCCTCGGGCAGGAATGGAGATTCCACGTTTGGCATCAGAAAAATGTCTCAACTTTGTAGCTGTAAAATAAAACCGAAGAAGAAAAAACACATTAACATCACCCAAATCCAGCAACCAAAAACATATAGCCGGATACATTCTGAGGACTTACAGAATGTGTCCTCCAAGTCATCTGAGGACTGAAGCAAGAAACTCTGTCTTTCTTTGAACTGCATTTCATTGAACAAAGCAAGATCATCATCTTTCTCCCTAAAGAGCAATCCGCTTTCAAGACTGCGCCCCCGCTTGTGACCATCTGCTCTTGGCTCCCTTCCAGGAGAGAATCTCAATGCCGGGGACGATAGCATCTCCACTACCCAATGCAGTAGTGTCAGACAAGTGTTACCTCCGGCTCTTCATACAAACTAAAATAAAAAACCTCCAGCTCTACACCCTAACCGACCCATATTTCTGATCAGCCCTACAACAAACTCAAGACCCAACATCCATCAGTTTCAACCCCAAAAATAAAGTTTCCCAATTTGCTATATGCCATTGCTTCAATAGATTATTTAATTGCAAAAGTTAAAACATAATTAATATATATATATATATATATATATATATAAATGAAAAGCATCTAAGACTATCCATTACAATATTATATCGGATACCCATATTGGTGCTACTAAATACCCAAACCAGTACTACACACTGGCATCATCTTGGGTATGACAGAGTGAAGGAAACCCCATATCTTATAGAAAGCAAATTTCATCATATTAAAATGGTGACTCACTGGAACTGGAACAAAAACTGTACCAATTTCTTTTTCAGCATATTAAAATGATGACCCCTCCCCTCCTAACCAACCAAAGTTAATTGCTATCTTCCTTTGCCTCATTATTTTAGTTTAATTGGTCCATTAAATACCTAAACGGCCAAACCAACAGTACACACTGCCATCATAGTGAGGACAGAGTCAACAAAACTCTATTTCTAATAGAAATGAAAGCAAAATTGAGCATATGAAAGTGGCAACTAACTGAAACAAAAACCATATCACTCAAAATGCAATGCCTCAGCTCAATATTCATAATAAGCAAAACAAAATTAACCCTGAAACCCTAAAAAAGTGACACCCACAGATCCCAACTGTGAGGTTCACAGCTAAAACTGAAAAGGGTACCTAAAATTGAAATAAAAAATGAAACTTTAATAGTCCCCATTAAGCATTGAAGACAACAACCATTAAATATGAAAGCAAAATAGTAATAATACACCATTGGAATAGTAGTAGCAGGTGAAATTGCTAGCTTGAACTTACCAAAGAGATAATTTTGAAGTTAAATTGGTTCAAAGGGAATGAATGAAGGTTAAGATCCCAAATAAGAAGATAGAAAAAGAAACGAAAAAAAAAAAACAAGAGTGGGACGAATGTTGTTGGTTTTAGAGAAAGGGATCTATAACATTAACGTTCATGGCTTTGTCCCAATGAGTGACCAAAGTACAGATCGAAAACACACTACAACTACTAGTCTAGGACTACCCTACTTCCAAATTCTTTTTTCGATACTTAGTATCGAACGAATTAACCTCTTTCATGATGTGAGAGTGTCTTCAAACAACATTAACAAATATCACTCCTAATAATTGAATGATAGAATCTAGCACTATCTATTATCACCTTTAACCAAAATGTTATTGGTTACCACTAGTTTCTTACAACAAACACACACTAAATATATTAATGTAACAAAAAAATACAAACAAAGCTTATTCTTCTATATATTCTGTTATTTTATTTTTTAATTCCTTCTATAACTCAAATATGTGAGATTAAGTAACCTGATTGGTCAAAGCTCTTTCAAAATATGTCTACTTTAAGATTGAGATCAATAACCTATTATGGTTTTATGGTTTTTCTAATATGTTTTGTAAGATACAATTCAATTTATTTAAGAAAATAAGTTGGTGTTGGTAATTATTTCATTTATACTCTCTTGTTCCATAAAAATGGTAAAAATTTATCAAAAATATTGCCCTAAAATTAAAGTTTTGTCATATAATTTATATTTTCAATTTGGTCAAACAAATTTTCTTTGTTTCATTTTTGTCTTACCTAAACATTTTCCCTCATAACCCTTTAAATTATGAACCAAAATTTAGAGTTTTTGTCTTTTAACTTTAGAAAAATATATATACAAATATGAGGAATAAAAAAAAACATATATCAAACAATGAGATACTTTATTCCCATTTTATAATCTACATAAATATTGAAGTATATATCACTCTTAATATTCTACATACCTTAAGAAAAGTAAATATAGTTGTGATTCTTTAATTTATAAAAAAGTTAATTCCAAAATTATTCATCTATTTATAGACAGAGAAGAAATAATTATTGGAATATTCAAGGCTAATAAATATAAAATATAATTATGAACTGACATATATATTATTTAATCTTATATTTATGGGAAAATTACTTCATTTATAAATAGGGAGAAGAAGAGAGTACACAACAAAAATCATAATCAAAAGCATACCTATTTTAACTCTTATTACTCTTATTTTAACTATTTCCTTCATATTTTGGTCAAAGAGAAAATTAGCGCCATTAAATCTGCTTTTTCAATGCACCAATAACTTCATCTTCAATTCCTTCGAATGATAATCCAGCAGATTTTCCAATTTCCCAATATTATTATTTTTGCTATTCTATGCTTCTTAATTACAATGTTTGGTTTATTTTCCAATTTCCCAATATATATATATTTTTGCCATAACTTCCAAGTTCCAACCATCATCCCTATATAAAAGATGGAAATTAATTATCCTAAAATTTGGTCTAGTATATATACCCTAAGAATATTGACATTTTTTTACGGTGAATAACTGAATAACCTTACTCATTTATAAAGCAAAATATATCTTAAAAAATGAAGGCAACTTCACTTTAAATCATCTTTTAAAAAAACTAGTTTGAGAAAACACATAAATATTTTAACTGAATATGATGTGCATGTTCGCCTAAAATAGTATTCGAACAAGTATATATCATACTATCATAGTCACATCATTTTGGTGAGCCTGAAAAAAAAACAATATGCCCTAATTAAATTATTTGGAGTTTGAGTTTCTTTCTAAAAATCACTTTTTTATATCAGTGCTAAAAGTTGGTAAATTCTGACATATTTGAGATTATGTACATGAAAAAAATGTGGAAAGTAAATTTATTACAAAAATTTGCAGGTAGTTTTGTTATCTGAATTGAGAAAATTTGGGTAGGTGTGTTTGCTTGGATCATTTTCTGTTTTAATTTTCAATTAAATCATAAAATGAGGATGAAAACATGTTTCTAGTGTTGTTTTTATTTTATATTTCTGGAAACATGAGTTTCATTTCTGTAAAATTTGAAAATGATAAAAATGTCATTTTCAATAACGAGACAATAATATTTTATTAAAAATGAAAAAATTGTGTAGAAATATTGTAATTCTTTAATGTGAAAGTTTGAGCAAGATATTTATTTATAAAATTTAAATTTGGAAGAAGGAAGTTTTAAATCTTGTATCATTTTCATTAAATGAACCTAAACTAAAATATAATAAAATTATTATGTGATTCTAAAAATAAACATACTAATCAAATAAAAGGTATTTAATTAAATTTACTTTTATGCTAAAATATATTCACATCCTTTACCATTAATTTAATTAAATGGTATATAAATATTTGGGAAGAAAGATGCATGAAGCAGCAGTGGTCTAGTGGTAGAATAGTACCCTGCCACCCGAGTTCGATTCCCTGCTGGTGCATTATTGGAGCTATGATGAAATTGCAGTGATAGAGGGTCTATCACATTCTCCTTCTGGTTGAAATAAAGCTTATCTGAGCTCCTCCTTTTTTGATAAATGTAAAATTGAAAGGCACCTTCTTCATTCACATTAGAAATATATATAAATAAATAAATAAAAAAGTGGTCAAAGTTGGTATGGTCGGCATAGATGGTTCTCAAATATATGGCGTTACTATTACATTAACCCCCTTATTATTCACATCATTATTTATATATACTTGCCCCACACGTTTTTTCTTTTTCCATTTCAATTTTGCTCTGTCTTCTTGTTTCACAAGTTTCTTTTGAAGCAAGTCAAGGCATAACAAAAAAACTTTCTTGTTTCTATTTTCTCATCCTCAAACATGGCTGCTAATAGATGGTTGAGACCTGAGGTATACCTATATTCATAAATATGTCAATACCATTCTATGTTTCTTTCTTTATTATTTCCTTAATACCCTTCTTCTTACTTTTAATATATCACCTTATACCCTTTTATTTATTTCTAATTCTAATTATATGCATCTAATATATGTCTGTGATGATATAGGTAACATCTTTGATCTGTTTCAAAGGTTGTACTTTAAAGGGTAAAATGCGGATTTATAACATGGGTTGAGAAAATATAAAGTTTTCGATCAATGGATATAAATATGTACTTTTTTTGAACTTCAGAGGAAGCAAGTCCTAAACTTTGTTGTTGATTGTATTGTACACAAAACCAAGTACAGTAATAATGAAAAAGTTGGTGTTGGTGTTGGTTTCTTTTTGTATTTAACTCACCATCAAATATGAATCTCTCATATTTGGATTTGCTAAGGTTAATTCTTTGTGTAGTCACAGCATTCAATTGAATCCAAGGGCTTATAGTATTTGAACAAGTATTCTTTTAATTTTAAACATCCAAAAAAATCATTTGGAAATGTTCATATTTCATGGTGTCAAAATATTGTCTGCAGCAAATCCAAATCTGAATATCTACAATTAATGTTTGCTCTAACATTGAGAAATTAGTCCATAGAGCAAGTATAACTTCCTGATCTGTAGATCTGTTGCATGTAAGATCTTCAGATCTATTCTGCTATATTTATTTCAAGGCGAGAGAGAGAGATGAATGTTAATAATAGGGAACTAAGTCCCTCATCGCCTAACTCATTGTGTCTTGTCAATGATTTAAATACATGTTGGATTATTCCTCTCATTGCCAATTGGTTTTAATATGAAACCTTAACATGGTATCAGAGGCAGAGTCCAACTTCGGACATGTTGGGAAGTAAGTCATCCATCGCCTACCTCATTGTCTTGTGAATAGTTTAAATAGCTGTTAGGTTATTGGTTATGAGATGGAACATTAAGAAGAAGATGTGATGATATAGATGTCTAAATACATTTGTATTTGTTATGACTTGAATAGGTATACCCACTTTTTGCTTCAGTTGGTTTGGCTGTTGGGATCTGCGGCATGCAACTTATTAGGAACATTAGCACCAATCCTGAAGTCAGGTATAGATTTTTCATTCACCTCTTAAGTTTGCTTTCATATTTGTTTGGTTTGTTGGACTTATTTTGGTTCACTCATTGTTTAGATCAAAACCCATGTGTAAAACAGATCAGCCGTGACATTAATAAATATAATAATATGATATCGTTATCCTTAAATACGTGTTACTTATTATTATGTATAATAATTTAGTTTGATTGTGGTTTAAGGGTAACTAAGGAGCACAGAAGTGCAGGAATCCTTGATAATCATGCAGAGGGTGAGAAATATTCCCAACACTTTGTGAGAAAGTTTGTACGTGGCAAGACCCCTCAGATTATGCCATCCCTCAATAAGTTCTTCTCTGATCCAGATTTGGACTAATTCAGATGCCAAACTCTGTTCTACAAAATTCATTATTTGAGACTAATTTTGGTTTTGATGTTCCATATAAAGGAAGGATATATGATGATTGAGGTCTTTGTTGATGGATTATTACACTCAATTTGTCTAATAATAAAGTTTAATACTCTATATTTCTATAACAAATGATTAATTTCATGCTTTGATATTAATTTACAATTAAGTATTTGTAATATAGAATTTTATATATTGAGTCATGTCTCAACTCAAGTAATTTTATCCTATAATGTGGTATGAAGGTTTCAAGAAATTCTAGCTTTTTTTGTTCTTGTTGAGAAGAAGCATATATATCATAGGAAGCTCCAATCATAGAAATTCTAGCTTTATGCAAAGTTTTCTACCACGATATTAATTGTATAACTGAGAAGGTTTAAAATCACACTTTATGTTCCTCAACTATTTCAATCAAGTGTACTCTTGAAGGATTAAAATTACCTATGAAAAAATAAAACATCAATGTTCATTTTTTTGTCTCCATCAAGTGTCTTCCGTAAACAACAACAGAAAAGTAATTTTTTTATTGATAGAAATTAAATTTGTGTTAAGCACTAAAGTTAAAGTTGTTGGTTTAGTGAAGTAAAATTCTATTATATTTCAGGATAAACAAACCTCAAGTTTTCAATTTCTGAAAGCGACACTAGTTGTGATAAACAATCACAAATCCTAAAATAGATTAGTTCATTGTCCAACAGGTGAAAAGATGTCATTGATAATCCTAAAAAAATGTGTTCATTTGTTAATTAATTAAGCAACATCTAACTCAATTAAAAATAATATTGAAATTATTTTGAATGATAGTTAAAAAAACATTACAAATAATAAAAATAAAAATATAATATAATAATTTAGCATTATCAAAAAACCAATTCAACTCTCGAATTAAAAACCAAATTGGCAAATCCTATACTAGACCGTTGAATTTCCAAATTCAAAATCCAATTAAAAATAAATAATACGTAGAGATGCCAAAGCAAAACAAAAGTAGCCGTTACAGTGCATTGCTTTCCATTAAGTTTCATAAAGCAAGTTTTTCACTTTCATCCCATATCTGAAAACCCTTTTGATTTTCCTTCATCCTTCTTCTTTTTCCTCATAAACTTTCACATTTCCTTTCTCTTTCTACTTACACAAATCATAAACCCTAATGGCATCAAGAACAGCTTCCAAAGACATAATCACCCTTCGTGGTTCTGCAGCAATCGTCAGCGAGTTCTTCGGTATTAATTTACTTCTTTTCTATTTATTTTTTATAAATAATTTCATATTTTTCACTATATGAATTTATGCCTCATTTTTTATTTATTTTTCTAACAGGATATGCTGCTAACAGGTTTGAAGATTCCCCCTTTTCTGGATGTAAATTTTTAATTTTTTAATATTAATTAATAATTATATGAAATTATGAGTGTGGATTTGATTTGTTTCAGCATCCTTTACAACCGTGGAGTGTATCCAGAAGAAAGTTTTGTGAAGGTTAAGAAATATGGTCTCCCTATGTTACTCACTGATGATCAAGGTGTCAAATCTTTCATAACCAATCTAACAACTCAACTCTCTGGTAATAATCTTTGCTTTCACCTTCAATTATCATAATTAATCACTTATTCTTTCAAAACTTTTCTTAGTACACTTTTTATTACAATTTTTAATACAAATAAAATGACTCATATCCACATACTATAATAAATCCACAAACTTGTTTTTTATCATTGTGTTTGTGGTTCTTTATGACTGGACAAAAACATAAGAAAAAAGCCAAATTATGAAACTCAAATAGTTTAAAACTTGCTGCATCTATGTTTTGGTGTAGGATTGTATCTATGGCCCCATGTCATATTTTTGCTTCCTAAAAGTGAAATAATTCATTGTTTAGTTGGTACTTGTAACTGTTTTGAACTAATTTTTTTCGAGTATGAAGTGGTGTTTTGAAATTGAATCGATGTTAGAGTTCATTCCTTTAGGTTGTTAAGATGAACGTGTTCAATTCATCATTTTCTTCCCTCAGTGCCTAATCAACATGAGAGTAAAGTAGTTCAGTTGTGATATGATTGTTGACTAAATTGTCTGAATTTTGATTTTGTAAAGAATGGCTTGAAGCTGGAAAGTTACAAAGGATTGTCCTTGTTATAATGAGCAAGGCCACTGGTGAAGTCCTTGAAAGGTGGAACTTCAGCATTGAAACAGATGGTGAAGTTGTTGATCAGGGGTGGGTATTCTTAAACATAACTAGATCATTTTTTCCCTCTTTTGAGTATCACCTCATTTATTTCTTTGTTACCTTTCAGTGTGTCTAGGGAGAAGAGTGACAAGGAAATCATGAGAGAAATACAAGCAATTATGAGGCAGATTGCTTCAAGTATAACCTATTTGCCATGCTTGGATGAACCTTGTAAGAACAATATGTACCAACTATCATGAGAAGAATTGCTATGATCTATGCATCCTTTTCTGATTTTCTAATGGTTTTGTTAACCATTGCCCTTTTTATTAGGAAGTGAGGTTGAAGTAATATATCTAATATATTTAGGTGTGGTGTATAATTCTTCCAATAAAAACTTATCTCTTTGAATTTGTTAACTATTTATGGGAGGAAGGAAAAAGTAAGCAGCATCACTAATCTTATTATCTTTTTCTGTGTTCAGGTGTTTTTGACGTGCTGGCATATACTGACACAGATGTAGCAGTCCCATTCACTTGGATTGAGAGTGATCCTAAACTGATTGCAAATCCACAAATGGTTAAGTTACACTCCTTTGATACCAAGGTGAATATGGAATAGCAATTGGTTTAGTTTTACATGACATTCTTGGTTACCTTCACTATCACTAATTGGTGTTGTTTTTGGATATGCAGATTCACAAGGTTGACACACTTGTATCATACAAGAATGATGAATGGGATGAGCAGTGAAAATTCTGTGGATGTCTTGTTATTTTCTTCATATGTCTTGAGTGGAAACTTTGTTGTGAATTTTGTATTCACATTGTTAGATATGTACTGTTCTGTTGTGAATGTCAACATGGTAGTGGTACTAGTAATCATAGTACCAATTTCAGTTTTATGGTTGTCATTTCAGTTTTATGAAACTCTCAATGGTATCAATATTCAAGTGTGGAAAAGTTTCAGGTCTTTGAAAGGTTTAGTGTGCTTGGTCA